TGGAGAGGGGGGGTATGTGCAAATAGACATTCTGCTTTCTTCGCTGCTCCCAACCTTGGTCATTTTTATATTATATTATTTCCAGTCGGTTCTTCAACAGCCTTATTTCTGCTTCATCACGGCGTTAGGCCATTTATTTGCACCGTGTGGCTGTGACTGCCTCACATGATTTTGAGTTGACAATGATTCCCGCTCCAACACTGCCCCTCTCTCCCACCTGCACCCCGTACCCACACTACTCACGCTTTTTAATTTTGTTGCAAATCTGGGTTTTTCAGGGATTTCCCCCTCCCACCCCCACCTCCACCCCTCCCACCATTCATATTGTTGTATTTCCATTGTTACGATTGTTTGTTGTTTCGCTATTCATTTTTTGTTGTTGTTGTGTTGTTGACTTGAATGGTCAGCGGGTGCTCTGGTGAGGTTAACCTCTTTCTTCCTATCAACCACTTATAGTCCTTAACTCTCCTCCTTCTTTTCTTTATTTGTTACTTTCTAGTAACACCTCTAATCTTCGAAACGTACATTATTAACTCTTTCATTTGTGTTGCAAGTGCCGTAAAATTCGTACTAAACTTAAAAAAACAAAAACAAAATAAATTACTACAAATTGAGCTGACTTGTTTGTTGGTTCATCAATTTATGTCACTGTAAATAGCATTATAGGTATATGGTTTCCCTTTTTAATGTAGGTGTTTTTACGCCAACATCGAAACATTTTAAGACATTTAGGTGGTAGGTTTCCCAGCCTGTACTGTCAGGGTGCGGTTTCAGGCTGAGAGGGATGCAACATCTCAACAGAAAGACCGGGACACTGGATAAAAATGTGACGTAGCGTGGTGAAATCAGGCGCTCGTCAAAATAATGTAATCAAAGAAACAGGTATTTTTCTGGCCGTTGGGCTATTTGGTGTTCCAATTCTCTTGTTTTTTTGGCTCAGTACCTTCTATGCCCATTTAAGAACACATTTCTGGGTAGGCTTTAATGGAAAACGTTGATCAAAGACAGAAAAAACGTAAATTTGCAGTTTCAAAGGACACTTAAGCTTTGGAAGTCTCCATACTTTTTCGGCCATTTTCTCGCTACTTTTATCTCTGACACCAGGCGACCACGACCTATTTCAATCGCAAATATCTTGACCTCTTTTCAAGATACATGGATATTGTTATCGCCAAATGCAAGAAAAAAAATGTTTAAGCTTTAAGGTGATACTAATAACTTCATAATATGCCCAAATATTGACGAGTCACCAATTCCACCATGTCGTGACATCAATGTTTTCCCGACTCAGGAATACAATTGGGCTCTCTGGCATGCGAAAGCGAGGTGCTGAACTGCAACACTATAGACACTGATTGGGGGCTCTCATGGCCTAGACGTTAAGGCGTTCGCCTCTCAATCAATAGGTCCTTGGTTCGAATCCGGATAGTGACGGAAATATTTCTTCTCTAATATTTTCTCCTTTTACATCCTTTCTTGCTCTCTAAAATGTTCTGTCGTCTGCTTTGCCCCCTCCTCTGGGCTACTGACTCATTCTGCAGCCTTTCTACTGCTACTCCTTGGCTCTTTCTTACGCTGTCTTTCAGCCACACCCCTGATCTTCTAGTAGGAAAGATCTACACCTAGCCTTCTCAGACAGGGTTGAAAAATATTGGAGGTCCCGTGAGCAAGTTGCGCACGTTAAAGATCCCTTGGTGGTCCAAAATCGACAAGAGTAGGCTTCGGCCGTCACCCGTGCAAAATTCCAATCAAATTTCTTTACCAAATAAAAATACCTAATATGTCCCGCGCGCTCATATGACCATATGCAGTTGCAACCGCTGTAAAACACTTACCAAAGAAAAAGACGCCGATTAAAGTAATGAGGATAGCTTTACATTTGATCTAGTTCTTTTGCTGCTTGCCTACGTCTTTATCTATCACTGTCTGTCTGTTTGTCTGCCTGCCTATCTGTCTATCTGTCTTACTGTATGCCTGTCTGTTGGTC